CATTTAAATCAGCATTACAGACCTAGACTGTATCTGAAGAAATGGGGTAGGTCAAGGATAGGATATGAAACTGAATGAATTCATACCAAAAGCTGAGGAAACATGATTGCTCTCCTGCATGAGGAGAATGGAGCAGTGTCATTTCCAATTCCCAAGATGCACAGGCTGTACACCTACTACACAACTGCTGAAGAAAATTTCCAAAATTCATAGAAAAACAAAGTCTCTTCTGAGACCAAAGACTCCATGCTCTGTTAACAGACAGGAGAAAACAGAACAGAGATGGAGATGGGGATTCCATACAGACAGTGCTGTTTGTTTACAAATAAGCTGGAATGCAATACAGGAAGAGGATGTCACACATAAAAGTACTGGTTAGAAAAGAACAGTACTTTTAAAGCAGTGGTCTCCAACCTTTTTACGCCCAAGATCACTTTTTAAATGTCAGAACAAAGGAAGATCTACCGCCTCATCCTTCCCCCAAAACCCCACCCCTTCCTTGAACCCCCGCCCTCTCTCTTCTCCATCACTTGCTATCCCCAGCCCTTATACGCTCTATACTGCCACTTTTTTTCCAATTCTTCTGTAGGAAGAGTTTTTTCCAAAATTTGGCCTGTCTAGATTGGAAGAAATGTCAGAAAAACCCCTTCTTTTAAGAGGGATAAGGGATCTTTCGGAAAAGGCTTTATTTTCCGAAAGATCCATGTCTAGACTGGAGCTTTTTTCCAACAAAGCTCTGTGCCGAAAAAAAGTGGCAGCCATTTTTATGCTAATGAAGTGGGGGAGATTTAAATCCCCGCTTCATTAGCAATTGCGATACGTCTAATTTGCATCCCTTTTACGAAAAAGGGATGCAATCTAGACATAGCCAAAAAGTTTCTTCATTGTCTTTTGTTTTGAGTCCGGGGTCATTGACCCACAGAAAAGTCAGTTGGGGTCACACAAGGAAGATGCAAAAAAAAAACCCTCCTCCAAACACCCCCCCCCCCAGCCCCACTAATATGGCCCCAACTGTGCTGGTGGGAGCAAGGGACATGAGTATGGGAAAGGGTGCTAGCAGGTGCTGTGGCAGGGGGCAGAGGGCTGGGATGGGGGCAGGATTCTGCAACAGGGGACAGGATGCCAGTGGGAGCAGGGGACAGGGTTCTGCAGCAGGGGACAGAGTGCCAGTGGGTGCAGGGAGACCCCTGCACCAGCCTCCTCCCAGGACTCCTTCCCCCCGCCCTCCCCGCAGAGGAGGGAAGCCCCCACGTGCACCTCCTCCGGGGCTGACTCCTCCCTCCCGTGGCACAGGGAATCCCCCGTGCACGCCTCCCCCGGGCTGATTCCCCTTCCCACAGAGGAGGGAAGCCCCCACGTGCGCCTCCTCTGGAGCCAACTCCCCCTCCCGTGGTGCAGGGAAGCCCCCGCACGTGCCTCCTCCAGGGCCAACTCCCCCGTCCTGCGGTGCAGGGAAGCCTCCACGCGCGCCTCCTTTGGGCCGACTCCCCTTCCCATAGAGGAGGGAAGCCCCGGAGTGCACCTCCTCTGGGAACTCTTCCCTGGCAAGTTCCCAGTATGACACAGACCTGGGGGAGGGGAGCAGCCAGTGCACTTCTGGAACCCCCCAGAAGTGGCGCGCAGCTGCAGGACTTCCATCCACCCCGCAGGAAGCCGGCACTACCTCCATTTTCACTGCAGGTAGATAGTGGGTCTTCTTGAGGGTGGGGAGAATGGGAGGGATGAACGCCTTGCAATCGACTGGTTGGTAGATCGCGATTGATGGGTTGGTGACCACGGTTTTAAAGGGACAAAACTAGCATATTACTATGGAGTATATTTTAGTTTTCTTCCTCTATAAGTAACATTACAAAATTATTCTCATAGTGATCAACCACAGCATAGTAGAAATCACTTTGTCAGAGTTATTAAAAATGCTAAACCCACTTTCCTGAATAACTGACAAAGAGTCAGTATAAAGCAGATCAGTCCACTCAACATAATTAAGTATGCCACACCCTCTGCTATGTGAAAGCTTTAGTCACAGAAATGAACAAGTGAAAGCAGGTGTTTGCTACCATACTTTAATTATCTTTTCTAAAAAGATGCCCAACTCAACAGATTCCCACTCATAAGTTTTGTCTGCACTAGTATTTATTGGAAAATCTCCTCATTGACCCAGTAATAAAAACACATCTGTCTTTTCTTGGATTATTCTTCCCACTGTGAGCAAACTGTGGGTGGGGAAAAGAAGAGGCTAGTGCAGACATGAAAAGTAACACACCCAGGGATATTTTCAAGGGGGAAAAAAATCAAAAGGCTGCAACAAGCAGCATTTAGCCATAAAAAAAAAGTTAAACGTGTCCTGAAAAGCAACAATTATATCACTCTCCCTACAAATGTTACAAAGTTATAGATCAGTCAGTAATGGCTCCAATTAAAATAAATGTTGGAATTTTCATTTCTAGAAAAACTAAATACAAATTTACCATAACTACCCTTCAAAGGACATCTGAATTCTCCATGACTTTATTAAAAAAGCAATTAATTATTACTAATTATTATTATTATTATTATTATTTGCAAAGGAAACATTTCAAAGCCATGTTTCCCCTGAGAGGTATGCATTTTTTTTTAGACATACACAAGGAGGATCAGATAATTTCCTTTACTGGACTAAATTCTGTTTGTGAGAGAGACAACACAGAGAAGTTCTTTTTGTGCACATGGGGAAGAAGGATGGAGTGTGTGTGTTATGGATTGTTGTAATAAGCCATAAATCAAGTGACTCTGGTGTGTAGATATATCTCCACTGCTATGATGATCAACACCTGAAAAACATACTTTTCAAGATCCATGGGTCATATGCACACCTTTCACAAAAATGGTGTACCTCATTCCCTGTACAAACTTCCCCAATAACCAAGTGGGTTAAATGAGACGATCATAGTGCTTTCAAATGAACTCAGAAAAATAACATAAGACAAAACCACCCTATCACCTGTGGGCAAACACTTTTCACAAAGCAATCACTCTACTGCAGACCTCTCTACAGTTGCCTGGTGTCTGGTATTGACCCGGACAGTCTGGTATTTTCACCTCCTATCCAGTAAAAAAAAATCCAGAAAATACCAGACACCTAAAATATCCGTTATTTTCTATTTTTTTTCCCCCTGCCAGGAGGCGAAAATACTGGACACCCGGCAACCCTACAACACATTCAGTAACTGGGCCCAGCCCCAGACCCCCCTGAGACCTCCCAGACCTCTGCCTACCTGGTTCTGCAGGGAAGCTGCGTTCTGGCTTGATCGAGAAAGCAAAATAGCCTCCAGCAAAAAGCCTAATGACCAAGGGGAAGCAATGCCTTCCCTGGGTCTTCGTGCTCAACCGCTCCCATGTTCTTATCCCTATTCTGACCCTGCACGCACTGAAAGGGGCCATGCTGTTTTAATGCGGTTTTATTTTTTAATTTTGGGGGCAGGGTGTTCGGTATTTTTGGTTAAACCATCTGGCAACCCTAGACCTCT